TCTCTCTCTCTCTCTCTCTCCCTCTCCCTCTCTCTCTCTCATTTTGGTTACATTAATAATAATAAAAACTTTGCGGTCATATCTAGGTAGATCAACCCTCACTGATGCCAATTCTCTTAGCTACGTATGAATTGTTTACGCTATGTCATGATTTGGACATGAATAATGTAAGTTTTAAAAAAGACTGGACCTAAAAAAAAACAGTTCGTAATGTGCATTTTTCGCTATACGGGTGCTCATTATAATACATGTGCTATATGGCAAGAATATGTGTGTGACTGTAATAGCGTGTAAGAAACATGTGTGAGGATCATAGAACACACACACACACACACACACACACACACACACACACACACACACACACACACACACACACACACATAAAACAGTACTCTCAGAGTGTCATGACAGTAAATCCATAATACATCATCATCATCTTCCAGTGCCAGATCTGCGACAGACATCGGCGATCATGGTTCTCCATTCATTCCTTTGCTCGGATACTCTTGAAAAAGCTACGTTTCCCTGATCTTTCCCCGTTACCCATTTGTTTAGGTTCTCTAAGAAGGTTGCTCTAGGCCCACCACTTCTTCGTTTGTCTTCCGTTTTGCCACTGAGAGATAAATGTTCAAGACCTTTATATCTATTCAGAAGTCCCAAAAACTGCATGTCTTTTCCTGATTGCTTTTAACAATGAGCGTCCCACGTGGGCTTCATCAAGTACTACCTCTTTTGATTTCTTTTTCTTCCACGATACTCTCGCAGTCTCCTGAGAAACCACGTTTCTGTTGCTTTAATTTCATTTTCACTGTCTTTAGTGAGTGCCCAGCTTTCACAGCCATGTAGAAGGGGCATATATGTGAGGCAGCATGGTGGAATCAGGCTCTCGTCAATTTTTGGGCATATTGAGTTATTGGTACTATCTTAAAGCTTGTTCATTTGTCTTGCTTTCAATGAAAAAATTACCCCTCCATCTTCAGTAGAAGTGGAGATATTTTGGATTGAAGGAGGTGGGGGCTCACCTGGTTTAAGAGGTAAAATTAGCGAGAAAATGGCCGCCAAACCTTGGTAAATTCCAAAGTTGGAGAGTCCACGAAAACTGTAAATTTATATTTTTGTGACTTTAATCAACGTTTTCGGCGAAATCCTCAAAGGAATATGTTTTTAAATGGACATAAAAGGTGTTGGGCCAAAAAAAATAAAATTTGATAAAAATTGCTAAGCAGGAAAAAAACTGCTGTTTTCTTCGATTTCATTATTTTGACGAGGGCCTGATTCCACCACGCTGCCTCACATATAATTATTGGTATCGGCCTAAGGTCAGCTCATTTATTTTGCTTCCAATGAAAAAAACAACAATCCATCTATAGAGGTCGAGCTATTTACGATTGATTGAAGGAGGCGAGGGTCACCAGGTGTCAGAAGTAAAACTAGTGAGAAAATGGCCGCCAATTTCAAAGACTTTCAAAGTTTGAGTGTCCGCCGAAACTGCAAATTTACACTTTTGTGCCTTTGATCGTTATTCAGTAAAAACCACACAGAGATGTGTTTTTCAATGGACATAAAGTGTTAAGTCAAACGAGAAAATGTATTTTTAAAATTGCCAGAACCAGAGACAAAATGCCAATCTCGTTGATTTCCTTATTTTGATGAGCGCCTGATTTCACCTCGGTGGTGAGTGGTATAGGTTTAACGCCCCTATCCACACTGTTGGGATATTTAAGAGGTGGGCATCTGAAAATATACTTAGTCAGTTCAAGATAGTGTAAAAAAAAACATTGAGTATTGTCCTGTGTGTCTGCTCTGGACTCACACGCACCCAGATACACCGTCGTGTGTCCATTAGCGTTGACACAAGGACTGGCTGTTTGCTTCTGTTTTTCTGAAATAAAATAAAAAATCCCCTTGTCATCCTCCCCATGGGGATTATCTTTATTTTTTGTCCTATAGTTTTAGTAAGAGTGTTACAGCACTTGCATCACAATAAGGTCATATAAGTGCCGAGGAATAGATGTATTACACAAGAGTAACCTAATACACAAAAAAGAAAGAGAAGAGATAAGAACGATAGATGTTTGATAGGGAAGAAGGAGCAAACCATACCAGAGCACCCACCAACCACTCACTGTTTTTCTCCGCATTACCACGAGCGAACAAACGGTCATTTACTGGTTAAGGGTTTGTAAACGATCTCTGTTTTACAATCAAGTGTAAGTAGAAGGAACTTAAGCGCAAAACAAAAAACACCTTTAAAAACTCACTTAACACTGAGAATAACATGCACATCATTCCCAGCATTAATGCATCATCATCATCATCATCATCATCATCATCATCATCATCATCATCATCATCATCATCAGCGACTAAACAATTTGCGCAATTTCAACACATTTTTTTTACATAACCTACAAATATCGGCACCAAAATTAGGACACGGAAAAAAGTAGACGGAACAATTTCCCTCGTCTTCTAATAAAGATGAGCAGTGTATCTTTCAGAGATTACAGAATACACAATGTGGGTGGTTGGTGGGTGCTCTGGTGTGGCCTGCTCCTTCTTTCCTACAAATCATCTATCATCCTTATCTCTCCTCCTTTCTTGTGTTTGTACTATCTAGTAACACCTCTAATCTTCGGTACTTATATAAACTTATCGTGTTGCAAGTGCCGTAAAACTCTTACTAAAACTAAACTAAGAATGCACAATAACCTTAAACATCCTTCAACAACCATGGGTTTTTTTTAATTCTTCATTTCAGTCTTTCATTTCCTCCTTTGTGTCCTCCATATATTCACTTCTACATTTCACTTTTCCTGGAACAACCAAGTTTTGTTTATGCCCCATAATTTATGGAAACGAATACCATCCCCACCATAAGCTTTTGTTTCTCTCTCTCTCTCTCTCTCTCTCTCTCTCTCTCTCTCTCTCTCTCCCCTCCCCCTCTATCCAGCTGCACCCAATCTGTTTTAAGTCCAAATCTAAATCTCTCCTCCAAGTCCTTTCATGCCTTCATCTCTTTCTCGTTCCTTGAGGAATCCATCTTAAAACTTGGAGAGTCGAATGTTTGTATTTGTTTTAATTTAATTCTCAAGGCAGGTCCAATCAATTCCTCTCTTATACTCTCCCTCTAGTTTTTGATCGTCCTCTTCCTCCCGCTCCCCCTCCTCCTCCCCCCCCCCCTTCCTCCTCTTCTACAAAAAATATAGCGCACCCTCAAGTTCAGATAAAGAACTCACCAGCGTGTTCACATAGGTCCATTTTCCTGTGCAATTGTTCTACGGGGAAGAAGACGGACCGTCCATTGCACCAGCTGGAAATACAAAAAGCCACACGATCTATTTGGTTTGGTAAGTGTTTTACGCGCTCGCAACTGCATAAGGTCATATGAGCGCGCGGGACACATTAAACATTTTCAGTTGGTAGAACATTTTGAATTTTGCCCGGGTGGCGGGCGAAGCTTACTCTTATCGATTTTGGACCATCTAGGCCTCTAGAGCCTCTTACTTGATCTATATTTTCTCGCTTCTAGTAATTCAGTTTTGACACTCAGACGTGGTCAAGTGGAGGTTTTTAATCACAATGAGACCGATGTCATATATTTGCTACACAGTGGGGTCCACTTAAATTGAACACGGTAATTACTCTGAAAACGGCGGTAAACCGAAAGAAAACGAACTCCAATTTTTTTCTTCCTTGTCTTTGTGAGAAAATTATTGATACGGGGAAATGCTCACATTTCTAAGCTTAAAAGAATTCCAGGGCTACGTCGTCTAAATCTCCACTAGCAGCTTTACAGGAATTTCCAAATTGGTTTGGTCCTTTCAGAGATGGACGTTGAACTCGGAGGTCCCGCCTCTAAAATAATCTAATTTTGTTGATAAGTGTGTTAAACCTATACTATTTCACCATTTCCATTTTTCACCTCTTTACAGACTACTCTTTCATCTGTCCTGTGTAGTTATTCGACAAGTTCAGCAAGCTAACAATGTCGAAGTTGAAGAGCAAATCCAATAGATACAATTTGCTGCTTATATTGTAATTACTGAAACAAGAAAAAAGAAATTCAAAAAGTTTACATTAAAAAGATCTTCTGTCCAATGAGTGTTATTCAGAAAAAAGCATAAATACACATTAAAATACTTTTAAAGCTGAGGCAGAAAAAAATTCTCCACTCTTCAATGTATACTAATGTTCAGGACTGGACCTATCCACAATGTTGAGAAAGATGGGCAAGAGCGAGAGTAGATCTATCTTATTTTATCCTCTACAATTCAAGTTAGCAGTTGCTTTCTTTTCTTTATTTTTTTCTTTGTTGTTTTACGGCGCTCGCAACGGCATTAGGCTGTATGAGCGTGCAGGACATACTAAACATTTTCGGTTGGTAGGAAATTTCGAATTCTGGCCAGGTGGCATCCGAAGCCTGCCCTTATTGATTTTGGATCCCCAAGGAATCTTTAACGTCTGTAACTTGCATACAGGACATTCGAGATGTTTCGCCCTTATCCGAGAAGGCTAAGTGTTAGTTCTTACCTACCATCAGATCAGGTGTGTGGCTGAAAGACTGTGGTAAGAAGGAGTCAAGGAGTAGCAGTAGAAAGGCTGCAGAAAGAGTCAGGAACCCAAAGGAGGGGGTAAACGAGGTGATGGGGTAAGGGCAGAAAGCGGAGATGAAAGCGGACGACAGAATATTGTTAGAGAGCAGGAAAGGATGTAAAAGGAGACATTTTAGAGAAGAACATTTTCCGTTGCTATCCGGATTCAAACCCGGGACTTGATCTATTGAATGGGCTTTGTTTTTTGGAAGAAAATTGAATGAAGGCAGCCCTCAAGACCGGGGGGCCCCCCCCCCCCCCCCCCCCCCTGTTGCCTTCTGGTTATCAAGTTTTTTTCAAAGGGGTTCAACAGGCAAAATAAACACAGTGTAAATCTGTCTTCTTCTACGTATCATCGCCTCAGAACTATTTTGTCCAAAGTGCCTCCTTATTTAAGCACACTTTGGACAAAATAGTTCTTAGGCGACGATATGAACTTCAGCATTGTGTAAGTTAAAGAAGAAAACGTGCATGTGAAACATAAGGAAACATACATGGGTGACACATTTCATCCGCCGTAAGATCAGAAAGGATATACTTATAAAACCCACCGATAGAATATTCAGCCTCGGGTTGAAGTGTCATGTAAGGATCTGCAAAAGAATGAAAACGAATCTAAATTACCCAATGCTCTTTAAAATGAAAATGCAAAAAATTAAATTTCAATTGCTAGATCTAGTACAGATATACATTTCTTTATAGCTTGACTGGGTTGGTCCACCTTATTTGGGCCTATAATATAAATTGAGTTAAGACACATTGCTCAGTTGTAATTAAGTAATATTTAACTTTACCCTAATATTACATGTTCAAGAGCCTGGCTTCTTTAACTAAGTATATCAAAGTTCAGAAGCATACAAATAGTCTGGACTCGGGTCTAAGAACAAACTGTATTAGAACATACACGCGCGCACTCTCTCTCTCTCTCTCTCTCTCTCTCTCTCTCTCTCTCTCTCTCTCTCTCTCTCTCTCTCTCTCTCTCTCTCACACACACACACACACACACACCGAGAGCAATCAGTCGATATCCATCTGTCCAGTACCCCCCCCTCCCAATACGCACACACCTCCTCTCTCCACTCCAGCCTTTTAGGGCATATGTGAGCTAATGCTTCAATCTTGGGGTTTCTGTCTACTGCATCCCATGGTTTGTCGCCCAAGAATATTCTTCCAAGTGTTAAAGAAAAATCACATTTTTTAAAAAATGACCCATCTTGTAAAAGTGTATTTACCAGAAGCAAAAGCTCCACTGGCTGGATCAGCAAGTACGTCATACGTTCCAGGGTTGTGGGTCTGACCTTGACCTCCCAGTCCTGCCTTCGACACCGATGACGTCACGGCCAAGTTGTCGTAACATCTCCCGTCACTACGGGCCTGTGGTGCCTCAGGTGGAATCGTTTCCGCCATGGTTTTTCCAATGAGGCCCGGGGTGTGGATGTCCTGTGATGATCTGAAGTCCGATTTCACGTCCTGTAATAATGTGTAGTCCGAATCCACGTACGAGTACGGACTTTCTTCTTGACGGCCTGTGGATAGAGAACGGAAAAACTAGCATGAGAGTGTGACTAGATAACATAATAATAATATTGTTTAACACATTGTAGAATGATGCATGCTATAGATGGCAGCCATAGATCTTTTTGTTCCCCCCCCCCCAGTTGTAAACCTTTTTAAATCTTTAGACACCACAAACTGGAATTTTGCATAAGTATTTATTTAGGATTTTTTTTTAGAATACAGCTAACAGGTGTTTACAAGAATTTATATCTGTTGAGACAAATTGATACAAATCGTTGTTCAAAAGCTGAAAAGTTGATGTTCGATAGTTTAGGAAATATTTGCCAATATTATGTCTTTGTAGCGCCACGAACTTTTGACCGCACTATAGACAGGGAAATGTTCCATTGTTTCGTCTTTGAAATGGAGGATTCTGTGAGTTTAGAGTGTCTGCAACTCTCCAATACAATGACTGCAAAGATAGCCACAACCACAAAAACCGCTGCAGCTACACCCACAACAATAATAACAACAATCATAACTACACCCATAATAAACAACAATAGCAACAATCTCAACTACACCCATAACAACAACAACAACTACAGAACTACTACTACTACTACTACTACTACTACTACTACTACTACTACTACTACTACTACTACTACTACTACTACAACAACAACAGCAGCAGAAACAACAACAACAACAACAACAACACCTACAACTACAACAACAACCACAACAATATAAAAAATCACCAAAACATTAGCAAAGACCCCCCACCCCCTTTTTTTTTTTTACTCCTGTCCCAAGCCTCCCTCACCTGCATTAGCGCTGGCCTCTGTGGGGTTCCCCGTGCCCCGCCTCGTGTCGTCGTGTTGGTTCGGAAACGCCATATCATTGAGATGTAGGTCAGAGAACTCATAGGGGAGCCCGTCTGAATCTGGCTCTGAGAGAAATGGAATCATGTATTGTTTTTGATGAGGAGAAAAACTGAAATTTTACCAAAAATGTTAAAACATTTTAATTGAAATATTGACCTGAACTAAGCCGTGCTGTGAACCATTGTGAATGCAACCAACTTGTGTTTTGCACGATGACCTTATGCAGTTGCGAGCGCGGTAAAACTCTTACTAAACTAATGAGGTATATCTTTTTTATAATTGTTTTTTGTAAGTGTTTCACGGCTCTTGGTACTGCTTAAGGTCATATGAGCGCGCGGCATGCATTAAATATTTTCAGTTGATAGGGGTCTTTTTTTAAAATTTGCCCGTGTGGTAGTCCAAGCCTACTCTTACCGATTTTGGACCACTAAGGGATCTTAAACGTGCGCAACTTGCACACGGTACCTCCGAGATTTTTTTCCTTTTGTCCGAAAAGGCTAGGTGTAGATTTTTCTTACCATAGGATCAGGGGTGTGACTCTCTTGTAACACCTCTAAGCTTCGGCACTTATATGATTTACATTTAATTGTGTTGCGAGTGCAGTAATACTCTTACTTAAACAAAACAGAACTGAAAAATAAAATTCATTTCAGGATAGACGAAATGAGTAACCAGAATACGTGTTCACTTGCATGTATTAAGTGGTTTGTTTCTTTACTTCTGTGTTTTTTGTTAGTTTGTTGCGGGGGGGGGGGGGGAGGGGCACTTTATTCTGTGTGTGTGTGTGTATGTGTGTATGTATACGTGAGAAAAAAGAGTGATTCAAAGACAGAGAAAAAACCCGCGTATTTTTGTATGGTGGTTGGGGGGGGGGGGGGTCGGACGAGTAAGGGCATTTACAAAGTTGAAGTCCCCATTAATATCAACGAGAACCCTTGACTTGTCACCACATAATCCTACCTTTCTTCTCCTTTGGGATTCCAGACCTGATAGGAAGAACAAAAAAACCACCAAATAAATAAACTTATAAATAAATAAATAAATAAATAAATAAATAAATAAATAAATAAATAAATAAATAAATAAATAAATAAATACATAAATAAATAAATAAATAAAATAACCCCAGACTTCATCTGAAATAATTTGTCGGATGAGATAAACTAATGATCAACATCAAAAGATACAATTTCCCTTTAAAATAAAACCGCCCCTGTCACCCGCTAACCCCCTCCCCCCCCTCCCCCTTTTTTCTCCCCAGGGAAATAAAAACACAAGGTCGTGACAACAATAACAACACGGACCCCCCCACCCCCACCACCTTTGTGCTCCAAAAGAAAATCTCCAAACAGCACTATACATGAAGCATTACTATTAGTCAGACCTCAAGTTATAAAGAGAAGAAACAAGCAAAGGAAGACAGAAAGATGAAGAAAAATTAACTGTCTGGGCCAATGGTAGATAAGGGACGTCTGCAATAATTCTATAATCTATGTTGGGACAGCTATAAGTCTGTAACGTTGGTGTGTTCCACAGTTGTCTCGTTGGTCAATCTTCTTCTTCTTCTTCTTCTTCTTCTTCTTCTTTTTCTTCTTCTTCTTCTTCTTCTTCTTCTTCTTCTTCTTCTTCTTCTTCTTCTTCTACTTCTTCCTCCTCCTCCTCTTCGTCCTCGTCCTCCTCCTCCTCTTCCTCTTCCTCTTCCTCTTCCTCTTCCTCTTCTTCTTCTTCTTCTTCTTCTTCTTCTTCTTCTTCATTTTCTTCTTCTCCTTCTTCTCCTCTAAATGGACACCCCAGTATCTAGAAAGTAGGCTAGTGCCATAGAGTTTTGGGTCTCTCTGCTAAGAGTTGGACTAATATTAAAAATTTCCTTTTCAGTGCCTTTTCGATTGTGTATCGGACACACCTCCCTGACACATACATACCTCCTGCAGGGAGACGAGGAACTGTTCTGTGCCTGATGCGACACAAATTTCACCATTAGACACATCTCAAACGAATATCCAGACTTTGAAGAGACCCGAAAGAAGTAATTTTAAAAGTACAACATTACAAAATCTGTTTTCCGTAGTTCACCCCAACCAAATTCTCAATTTTATAAAGGACATTGGACTAAACAATAAATTGTGAACACCGTTACTTTAAATTGAAAGTAAAAATACTGCTATTTTTACGAAAAAAATTTTAATGTACAATTTTGAACCGTTTAATCTGATCATTGACCAAAACCAGGCCCATGTCATGAACTGTTGTGAATGTAACCAACTTGTGTTTCGCACGCCCAATTGACCGTATGCAGTTGCGAGCGCTGTAAAACTTTGACTAAACTAAGTGCCACAAGCATTGGCCAGATGGTTTCCTGTATAGCTGCCGGTTCCACATTGACACTGCTCTGAGTTGCTGATCCTGAGCAAAATGTACGCGTACATTTAGATAGAACCTGTGCAGGATGCATTTTATATGTTTACACATTTGATCTTTATTTCAAATTTAAAAAATAAAAACAATTGTTTATACAATAAAGAAATATCTGAATTGTAAAATTATTTATTAACAACTTTAACCAATCAAAATAATTAAAACAAATAGATTCGATATCACAGCTTGGAAAATAAACAGAGCAACAAAATAGTATGGTCCAATCTAACTGTGATCATTTTAGGCCAAGAAAATTTGGTCTATAATATTTTTTCTTCCTTTCTATTCTATTCTTTTCTTTTCCCCCCAACCTTTTAGAGCATCATGGTTAACGTCAACTTTGTAAG